AATTAGAATGTTAATACTAAGAATTATAACATTTAATTTAATTTCACGATGAAAATGTTTTTAAAAAAATTCACATTTTCATGCTGTAACTGCCATAATGACACATGGAAGGCAAGAAAGTATACTTTAAAACTTTTAAGTGTCTTTAAATGTTGACAGGCATGAAAATATATATATTGTGAACTTATTCAACATTGATAAAAATGAAAATACACTTTCTTACATAGAAGGTATGTAGGGAGTTAGAGATTAGGGTGAAAAGTTAATATATTTAATATTATGAATGTACAAAAAGTATGCAAAAATAGCTTATCACTAAACTAAAAATAAAAATTAAAGTTTGAGTAGTTACATTTTAAGATTTAATTTTAAGCATTTAAAAAACTTAAACTTTCACCAACTTTAGTCCTGATTCTAACCCTGATACATTGCAAAATTTATAAAATTAACCTAAAATTTTCAGTGCATATTTTCTTAGTTTATTTTTATTAATTTATTAAAAGTTCATTCACTATTCACTTAACTGTCTTTATTTATTTTTATTTATAACTCTCACTTTCATGCTTATCTCACAAGTCAGAAAAATTTACTTTTACAAAAATAACATTTATTAATTTATTTGATTATTCATTATTTCAATTTACAATTTATTACTCAAAGTCATAATTATTGGACTCCAAAATTTTTTTATTATTAGTATTATTAATTAGAGTTATTATATATTTAGATTTAGTTAAACTGATATTACGTCTTAGAAATTAATAAACTGAAAAAAGTGAAACACTAACTTCATCAAAAGAGTGCATTTTATTTAAATTTAACTGTACTTTTACTTATTTGCACTGTCTGTCTTTGTTTATTTATTATCAACTCCACTTTTAGTATTTTAAAGAAAAGAATTTTATTTAATTTTATTTGAAACAACACAATTGTGTGGAAAGTAAAAATACGTTTATAAAATAAATATACAAGCTTGTTTTATTATATATACTTCTGCAAATCCTAATAAAAATGTAAAAATGTTGATATTATTATGTAAAACATATTTCATTATCATTAATAATTAAAAATATTTGTATAAATCAGATGCGAATAATTTATGTTTTTGTATGTCATCACATTTATATTTGTAGCATAATAAAAACATTGCTACACAAATATTAAGTCTTAAAATTTGTATTACAATATAATATACATACACCATCACCACAAATATACTAAGTGTATGATATAAAACACATATATCTAAACATATCATTTGAACTATAACACAAACACACAATAAAGTATGTGCACAAACAATAACACAACTAAGCATATACTTATCGAAAAAAGGTTTTTAAATGCTCCATTCCATTACATTAATATATATGTAAATATAAATATATATAAATATATATATATATATATATATATATATATATATATATATATGTTTTAATATATTCCAGCACACACAAACACACACATACACACACACACAAACACACGCACACATATATATATATATATATATATATATATATATATATATATATATATATATATACATACATATATCTATGAGCAATATGAATAATAGAAAAATTAAAATTATTAGATAATTCTATATATTATATATAAAATTATATAGATATTGAATTTAATAAAAATTATATATATGTAAAATAAATATATTTATATGTATATAAATATATACAGACACGTATATATAATCTATATATATTTATATATATAAGTATTTGCATGGATGTCTGTGTGTCTGTGTGTCTGTGTGTGTGTGCAGTGTGTTATGATGTTTATAAATAACAAAACAGCGTAATGCAGTTTCGGTAGCTAAAAGTCATGGATGATTGTGTTGTTGTGATTCGGTTTTGTAGTCGTCGGAATGGCTCCGGATGATCCGAAAGATGTTTGTTTATTTATTTAAAAAAAAGTTATTTCTTGATCTCCCATCATATCATATTTTCTGTTGTGGTTGGTTGGCTGGCCGGTTGCTGCTGAAGTTCATCTCTTCTTTATTTTAAAAATTTATTGTTTGTTTTTATTATTTTATACGGAAGGATGGAAAAAATACACAAACTGGTGTTGTATTGGATTGCTGTGGCTATTAATATTAATTCTAATTTTAATGTTTAATTTTAATGTTAATTAAGTATGGAAATAATTAATAAATTATCATGATTATCATAATTGTCACTGTCTTCAATAATAAATACTAAATGAAATAGTATTTACCTGATTACAATTAATTAATTAAATTATTTTATTATTACATCAGTTATCTGCTTCGACGTCTGACTGATAATCGATAATGCTATATAATGAAATCTTATGCCATCCAAATGAATAAAATTAATAGTGAGAGTTTTCTATTTATGATGCTGAATGTAATATTCGCAATTTATAAATGTACCACATCCAATCATACCACAGTTCAGCTGTAAAGCATCATATTACTATTACTTCAATAAATCAAGATCAGTTATTGATAGGAAAATGAAAAAATCTAAACATGGAAGAGATGATTTGGAAAAGAACATCTTAAAGGGTCATGCATTCTTTGTGAACTTCATGGAAAGACATGGTCTTGCCGATTGCATTCGATATTTTCCTGATAGTATGACACTGAGTAACTTGAGGAGCTTGAATATGAATGACCTGTGGAACAAATTTGATGTCAAAGAGGAAAAAGATGCCGGCCGAATTATGAAAATTGTGAGTGAAGCCCACAAAGATGACCAAAGCGATAGCGACGTATGTTTAGTAGTAGTTAATAATTTTTATTGTTTTTAAATATTTTTTAAATCAATTATTAGTTTTACTTATTAATCATTGGATTGTATTTGAAGATTTGTTAATCATGTTTAACTAAAATTTTATTAATCTTGTTTTTCTGCCGAGAGTATTTTTTATTAAAATTTTATAACTGCTTATTTAATTTGTGTATGTATAATAATATTTTTATTGTTTTTGTTTGTAATGTAACAGGTTGAATACTTGTCATCATCATCTCCAAGTGGCCACAATCCACTAAACAGTTTGAGCAGTGGCAACAATATAAGCTCACATCACTTGAATTGCAATAAATCTCTTACAAGGTATTGGCCTCTGCTACATCTACTACATCCTAATTTGTTTTTTGTCTAACATTTTATTTTTTCAGCGTTTTAGTTAATCATCTCTATAATCTTAATAATCTTTTCATTTTCATCAATTTTAATTTACAATGGCCTTTACAAGACATTTTTGCCTCATCTACTCTCCTAAAACTACATTTTCATTTTTTTTGTATTTTGCAATTGTAGCTTTTGAATAAATAAATAATACTACATACTTCCAATCTTTTAAAAGCAAAAACTTCTAAAATCTATAAGCTGAAAGATTGTTGGGTCCATATTAAAAATTTTTGTGTAAGTTTATTATTATAATTTTTTTCACTTCAAGAACATTATCTGAAGAGCTGAAGTATCCGGTAAAGTTGAGGAAGAAGTCCTTACGGCAGCAGCAGCAGCAGCAACTTCATCACCACTACTTGAGCAACAACATCAAACATCTCAGCTGCTCACAATTTGGTTTGTATCTATTGTATTGTGTAAGTCTGCTGTTAGTGGTGTATTAAATATATAATTATTATTAAGTTGGTGAGAAATGGCGCTGATACTATCGCATCTTAAATGAAAAACTAGCGCTAAAATCACTACTGTTACATAAACTGTTACAGGAACCGTTACATGACAAGTGTTGTAGAAATATTTTTCACTTAATTCATGTTGATTGAAATCTTCAACTTCATTGTTGGAGCATTATAGATTTAATCAATTTATTGTTAGTGCGTTATGAATTATATAGATTGTCTAAAATGTTTGCCATTTCTCAAAAAATTATTATTAAATAATTACTTTAATATTCCAAATTAAAATTTATATGGTTTGTACTAAAGAAAGCAGTTTTCAAGGTTCAAAACCTATTTGTCTGATTTAGTTGATTACCTCATGTTACAAGTACAGCCATATAAATACCACGTGTTAATGTTAAAACCACATTCTAAAGCTGAATAAAACCTCGTGTTAGAGTTAAAACATTGTGCTAAAATTGAATAAAACCCACATAAGTTATAAAGTGAAAAAAAAACAAAAATAAAAAAACAGATATAGTAACAAAACAACGCCCTTTACTTCAGGTTTCTCAAATTAGAAAATTATTTTGTGCGATCTAATGAAATAAAATTTCAACTTAGAAGTAGCGGTAGAGATTTCATTCTAGCTTCAAAAGTTACGCTGTTCCCAAATGTCGCTACAGCTTAATAAATGCTATTGATACTGAAATAGTAGCAGTACCTGATAATGTTACCTGCTGCCATCATGCATTAATTTACCGTGCATAAAATTAGGTACATTATTCTTTGTAATCATTTCTTCATGATGTTGCAACAGTTTCCAAAATCATCATCACCGTCAATAATCTCACGTTATGCAAATTCTAAGTATTCATTATTCGCTACCAGGCTTGAATCAGAGTCCATCGTCTCATGCAGGCACCACAAATTTGTTGAGGTTGAATAGTTTGGGCCTGGGCAAGTCAGCCCCTCTTTTATCCACTGTTCAGGTTATCTTTCTTTTTTCAATTTTTCATATTTTTATAAATTTAAATTTATATGGTCTTATTTATTTCACCGTTTTTTTCGAAATGTTACATTTGGGCATATTGCATTTATACAGATTTAAAACGTTTTGCAATTCATGCTCATCTAAAGAGCATTATCTGTTCAAAAATTTGAGAAAAATGCATTTATTCCTAACACAATTTGTTATGTTTCTAATGAGACAAATAAAACATGTTTAATTGTAAATGTTGTAAAATGTTTTGGAAATGTTGGAAAACATTTTGGAGATGTAAATTTTCTTGGATAAGTTGTAATATCTCTCGTAAAACCTGTATGAGTAGCAAAATGTAGCAAAATAGCGTTGAAGCATTTTTTTCCAGCCAGCCCCCATAGTTTGATTAATGATGCATTTTGGTCAATTTGTCACTTATTTTAATTTTTCAAGATGCCATCGCATTCTGTTTCTGTTTTATTCGTTTATATTTTGTTACTTTGTCTATGTTTTAGTTACTGTTATATTTATTTTCTTCCCTAGTTAATTCAAATTAATGTCATTGACGCCGTCATTATTTATTATCAACGTTATTACCGCTTATCAAATGTTTTAGGGTATTGTTTATGGTCCTGTGTAAATTTTGGGCTATAAAATTTATGGGTTCTATTTGTCATCATCATCCTCATCATCATCATGGTCATCATCAACGTCGTCATCATCAACGTCGTCGTCATCTTCATCCTTATTGTTATTGTAATCATTATCCCCATCTTTTTTATCATCGTCGTCGTCATCCTTCTAACGTCATCATCATCATCATCGTCGTCGTCATCATCGTCATCATATCATCATGATCATCATGATGATCATCATGATGATCATCATTATCATCATCATCATCATCATCATGTTCAATCTTATTATCTTATCTTATTATTTTTGTTTTTGTTATCATCATCACCATCATCATTACCGTGTTATCATTGATGTGAATCACTCTACCTACATTAATGTTCTGGTTCGCCATGGGCTATTCTTATTATCGATTTTTTTTTATCTTTCATTAAGAAATGTTTGTCTCACTGCGCTATGACCAGCACCTCAACGCATAATGCGATATCAATCACATTCATCGTAGAAATTGTTATTAATTTTATCTAGCATTATTGTTAAAAATTATCTATAACAAATGATAATATCGTTACGTCGTTTTAATATGATGAATATGTATCATCAACTTATATATCGTTTTATGTAAAAATTATCATTAAATGTCAGTAATGATATGATATCATTTTATGTTTATTACATTTGTAATTAATGATATCTTTACACTTTTTAATTATAATTGTATGTGAAGATTATGATTATTTATCGTTAATGATTTAATCATATTATCATGATTGTCAGTTATATGAGCTATCAGGATAGTAGCAGTATGCCTATTTGTTTGCACTGTTCCATCATCAATATGTCATTATTTATCACCGGCGCTGTACTGTTCAGCTCTAACATCATCTTCATCATCTTCGTGTTCATGTAGGTGTATTCTCTTTCCTTCCTCTCTCTTCCTCTCTCTCCCCCCCTCTCTCTCTCTCTCTCTCTCTCTTTCTTTCTCTCTTCTCTCTTTTTCTCTCTCTCTCTCACACACACACATACACACGCACATACATACATACAAATTCATGACAATTTTTAAAATAAACTTCTTTATTGATATTTTGAAGACCCTATTTGCTTACTCATCTGCTCTCCTTAGACCCTGCCTTTTTAATACTTTATGTAAATATGTATGTATTTTTGTATTATGTGTGTATCTTTGTAAATTTGTATGTATTTTTGTACTATGTGTGTATCTTTGTATATAGGGTATTTTTGTATATACCGTTTACTTAGTGTGCACTCCTGTATAGTGTGTACTTTTGTATAATTTATACTTATGTTTAATGTATAATGTATGGTGTGTAATTATGTAGAATGTATAGTTGGTGAGTATTTGTGTTTAGTGTGTACTTTTATGTAATTATGTAGAATGTATAGTTGGTGTGTATTTGTGTTTGGTGTGTACTTTTATGTGTAGCGTGTACTTTCTTGTATGTAGTTACTTTACTTTCGTTTAAAGTGTACTATCGTATAACGTGTATGATGTTTACTTTACCTAAATATGTAATACTTCTATGTACTGTTAGATTATTATATATCATTCGTGTTTGTTGGTCTTACAACAAACATCTTCTTATCATCATTTTATTCCCTTTTTCATTATTTAATTTTTGTCGTCTCCATCATCTTTTTCTCGTAATTATGTAGTCACCATCATCGTCGTCATCATCAGCATCATCTTCGTCATGTACTTCTCGATGTTATCTCTATCATCTTATCTTATGTCATTATCATCATTGTTATCAACATCATCTTCATCGTCTCTTATTCTATATCATCGTTATCATCAACTTCATCATATCCTCAGGCTTGCAATTTGATACTGTTCTCAATTATATATTGGACAGGAGTTACATATTAACAATAAAGACTCCTCTAATGGCTGCATATCTTTTGATGTATTTGCATTACTCTTGCTGAATAACTTCACAGATACTCACTCACTCACTCACTCACTCACTCACTCACTCACTCACTCACTCACTCACTCACTCACTCACTCACTCACTCACTCACTCACTCACTCACTCACTCACTCACTCACTCACTCACTCACTCACTTACTCACTCACTCACTCACTCACTCATTCACTCATTCACTTACTCACTCATTTACTCATTGATGATAAAAAAGTTAGAAAATTTTTTGATTAAAAATTATATTTAGGGGCATATGCCATTCACATTTAACTAATCATCGTTGTAATCTCCACATTCTCATCCTCCTCATCATCCTCATCATCCTCATCATCCTCATCACCCTCATCTTCTTCATCTTCATCCTCCTCATCATCCTCATCACCCTCATCTTCTTCATCTTCATCCTCCTCATCATCCTCATCACCCTCATCTTCTTCATCTTCATCCTCCTCATCATCCTCACCATCACCTTTATCACCACCATCACTTCACACTTCTCCATGCAATGCTATCTTATCTCTATGTATATATATATACATACATACATACATACAGCATATCTTCCATTCTTCCTTGTTGCAATTTCACACTTCCTACCTACCTACCTACCTAGGTTTTTCTTTATCTCAATTTCATCATTCCCATTATTCAAATATTCACTTCTTATATCAGGTGTTTGTTTGTATATGCCATGCAGCCTGATGTTTAATGATACTGGGTCTACTTATTTTTAAGAAAAGTTTTTAGCAGAACTTTTGTTTATCCATTAGGTTGTTTGCCTATTTGTTTATTCATTCATTCGTTTGTTTGTTTGTTTATTTGTTTATTTTTATTTCTAGCTGTATGAATATTCTTAACATAACATAATAAGGAGTTTCGAACTGTCGTTCTTATGCCTCCAACAAATTATAAAACCCTCAAATTGAAAGAGTAGATTCTTAGTTACACATGTGACTGTTCTGTTTTTAATATTGACCATATGGTGTCTAAAGCGTTGCTTTCTGGATGAACATCCTTCATGATTTTTATCTACTCAAGATGTGATGATGAATTGAGAATAATTAATTGACATATAAATTATATTTCGATAGTTAAATATACTATAATATAATCTATAATATATATATATATATATATATATATATATATATATATATATATATATATGAATATTTGAATTTAAACGTACAAGCAATTTTAATATCGGATGAGTAAGCGGTAAGGATTATGTTGGTGATGATATATCGCCAGATTTCTCAATATGATACGATGTGATATGATATGATATCATGATCTGATATGATAGTCTGTCTCCTGATTAAAAGTTTTTTTTTTTGATAATTTATTTTATAAGCCGGGATTAAAAAGACTTCAGTTTGTATTTGCGTCTAATTTAATTAAGCTTCAGCCTCAATTTTTTCATTTGTATTTTTTTGCATTTTCGTATTCTTTTAATTAATCCTATCAAGCAAATAAAAGAAAAAACTAACAAAAAGGAAAAAGATAAATGAATGAATGAATGAATAAATGAATGAATCCCGTCAAGTTGCACCATCGTAATCATCCTCCATATATGACCAATCATCATCACCAATCATCATCACAATCATCATCACCAAAACCATCATTATCATCATCACAATCATCATCATAATAATCATCATCACTTTTATCATTAGTGCCTCAACGTACTTGTTTATATCTGATACTCCCGTCTATATATCAACATAAGAAATAGTTTTTTTTTGTCTGCCTTTTTTTAAAATTTTGGGAAAAAAAATTTGAAACTTTTTTGTTTGAAATTCTGCTAACCGTCATGATATATGAGTATTTTAAATATTTAACTTTTACTGGTAGTTTCTTTGTAAATTTTAAAAAGGAGTCGTATTTTAAATTTTTGGACTCACCTTATAATTTTTGAAAAATTCCTTGTGTTAAAGGATGTACTCTTAAGAGTAAATTTATTCTAATGGTGTTTTGTAATATCCTGTTTAGTTTCGTTATTTTTATTAATTTATATTTTTTAAAATTATTATTATTCATTTATTATTTTTAATGGTAATATTTATTTTAACATTGATTCTTATTAAAAAGAATAAATTTTGATGTAATTGTGAATGATTCAATTGTTGTAAAGTTGCAATGATCTTGCAGCGTGTTAACGTTTGCTTATATTACATGTAATTTTTTTTGGTTCATTTTTGCGGAATTTTTGAGTCAAGTTTTTGTTTAGAGGTATTTCGTTGCACTGAACATTAAGATTAGAATTTTTTGAAATATTTTTCTTTATATCTTCTCATCGTACGTTCCATTCACTCAGTGCTTGCTATTTTATTTAAAAAATTTCAAATTTCTTTTCAGAAGAGCTTTTCAAATTATTACGTTCCCATGGTCTCGAGACAACTGAGGTACATTTCAAACATTTTCATGTTTAACGTTATAAACATTGTATAAACCAGGGGTGGCGAACTTTATTGTGAGGGCCGCATTGAGGACTATTTAACCTTTGAAAGGCCGCATATGTACTTAAAAAGCTAATAATTTTTTTGACCCGGGGAAAAATTTATTTAAGATTTGTGGCTCCTTTCTTTTTTTGGTCCTAATGTCTGGCTATAGACCTTTTTTTGGCAAACAAGGCCGCATACATATAAAATATTCGTAGTTTGCTCACCCCCAGTAGAATAAAAAGTTTTGCCCCGATATCATTTTACATCCTTTTTTATAATGTGCGCGAAAATTTTATTTTTTTTTTTCCCCATGAACACGTTTCTCTCACGAATAAACCTGAATGAACACAAGATTCTTCACAACTTTATTGAATGCACACACGCACGCTCTCACACAGACACACTCTTGTACACCCACACACACACACTCATGTACACACACACACACACACACTACACACACACACACACACACACACGTCAGTGACAGATTCTCCTATCGTCATAGCAACATGGCTTCCACGTCGTCGAATCTCTCGTTGGTCAACAACCCTCATGTCACAGCCATCATTCCAAGTTTGTTCGTTTGTTTGTGTTTGTTTGTTTGTTTTTTCGTGCCTGTTTGTCTGTTTTATGTTTTCGTACTTTCTAGATCTCACAGACTTCAATTTGGCTCAACATTTGTGATTTTTTTTGCTTGTTTTAAATAATAATGAAGCCATGTGGTCAGTTTTGTTTATGTGTTTTGTGGTGTATCTTTACATGTTATTACATGCCGTTTTCGCTTATCAATGTTCATTTATTATTTAGAGCAGGTGTTGAGCGTAACAGTGTAATGATGCCAATCTATGCCACTGACATACATTTTTTCGTTTTCCTTCACCCTCTCCACATCTTTTTCGCGCTTTTTTCTTTTTTTTAATGATTAATAAGTTTGCATATATTGTCTGTTTGTTGTTCTTGCATTCACTCATTCATCAGTTCATTCATCAATTTGTTTGTTTATTCATTCATTTATTCATTCATACATCCATCCATCCATTCACTCATCCATCCATTTATCTGAAATGTTTATTTGTAGATCATAATGAGAGCATAAAATAATGTTTTGAATTGTTTTTGTGTCCTGTCCATTAAATGTGCCTTCATATGTTTGTTTGTTTGTTTGTTTGTGTGTGTGTGTGGGTGTGTGTGTTGTTTATTATATAGTTTTTAAAGTGTCTGTGTATAATAAACTTATGTGTGTGTATATGTGCGTATGTGTATTATAAATTTAAGTGAATGTATGTATGCGTGTATATGAGTTTACATGCAAAACTGTAAAAGATGTTGTTATGTTGCTGCATAGTTTCGCCTTTACATCTCTCTTTAGTGTCTGTTATTTTTATTGTGAAATTATTTTTATTGTTCTTATATCAATGTTATTTTTAGTTCTTTTCAGTTTCTGTTAAATTCTTCCCATGTTTGGTTAGTGTGCTTTTGCTCCGTTCTTCTTCGCCATTTTACATTTGCTGTTTTCGGTCGGGGTAAATTATTGGCTGCTCCCTCTCTCTCTCTCTCCATCTCTCTCTCTATCTACTGAAGTTTTGCCCTTTTTAAAGAGAAAATTAAGAATAAAAATATGAAACGATGTTTAAAAAGTTTAGAAAGCAACGCGCGTTTGAATTTTTAAAACTCGAAGAATAATTTGAAACAGTATGCTTCTTCCCTTTCTTTTCTTTCAAGAAGCACTAGTTTCTACCTCAAAATAGACATTCCACAAAGTAAAAATTTTAACTTTAATTAGAAAATTTATTGAAAACTGTCAAAACGATCGTCATCTTCATCTAGTTGTGAGCATTTGTTTCCTATTTAATGGTTGTTTACGAAATCATTCCTGCTCTCCATCCACCCTGTACCATCATCACTCACGTACATAGATTTCTATGTATGTTAGTGATGTTGGTGAGTGAGTGATGATGTGAGTGAGTGATGATGAGTGATCTACTTTACACTACTTTACATACTGTAAAGTAGATTATGTGAAGCAGGTTGAACATTAAATATTCATGCACCGTGTTGTGTTGCAACGTAACCCTCACGACAGTAACGAACACGATACTACCATGAATGTATGTGTGTGTATATATATGTGTGTATGCATGTGTGTATGCATGTGTGTATGCATGTGTGTATGTATGGAATTGATATGTGCTTGTTGTGTTGTGAAGTGGATGCACTCATTGCACGGCACATGCGTCGTTTAAATAATGCTGAAAGTTAGATTCATTGATTCCTTAATAGAAATTATTTCAATTATATAATTATATAAATTCTTTCTGCTTTGTGGGCTGCGTTTGACTGTTGTTCAATTATTAAAAATTAGTTTTGAAACATTTGAAATACTATGTGTTGAAATATTATAATTAATATTTGTAATTAGGCAAATATGCATCCATGTGTTTTCAAGTTGGTTGTTAATTTGTCATGTCATTTGTCATTTGTCAATTCAGCCATTTGTTGCGGTATAACATTTCACTAACGTAACATTTCGCTAACTGCTTGCTGATTATTTATCATTCATGTTGCTACGAGGCCAATTTGATGAACATCTAGTGTTTTTTTGGGCCAATTTGATGAACATCTCGCCAAAAAACACTAGAAAAACTAGTGTTTTTTGGCGAGGACAACATTAAGGACAACATTGTTGTGTTGTATTGCATTACTGTTGATTTATAGACTGGCATGATGGTGAGGAGGTAGGAGGAGAAGGTTTCAGTTGCAAAAGTGGAAACTCCTCGGTCAAGAGAGCCATACAACATGCTTCTTAATGGAAGGCAGCCGACAGCAGACAGCACTTGACGCGTGATATGTGATTTAATGCTGACTTGACGCATTTGGATGAGCATTGTTCTGTATTTAATTGTATGCGTAGCTTACATTAATATTGTGTTAAATTAATTTTTTAAAATGAGTTTTGCATCTCGAAGATGTTGAACAATAATAATCAGATACATCGGTTTGTGTTGGGTGAGATAGATGATAATAATAATACCCAAAAAAAATTTAATGTTGAAGACGTAATAGAATTGCAAATGCCAGGCATGTTTTACCTAAACTCTACTGGTGTAACTGAAATGTCAAATTAACGATGAAGAAATGAGGATGGATGATTGGGTGACTGCTGCCCCTCAGAGTACCTACAGATGAACGTTTCAGTTCCATGTCTGCTTGTTGGTTATAGTTTTGATGCTGGTATCACATTAATAGGTGTGAAGGTTTGCATGTCCATACATGGGTTTGTATGTTTGTTTGTTTGTTTATGTAACCTAGGCTGTACATTCGTATGCACTGTAATGAAGGCCCGTCTTTGTATTGTATTCTTATAAGTGTGTGTATTTGTATTGGTATGTATGTGGATCTGCCTATGTATGCAAATGTTTACTTGCCTCTGCAAATTTATGTACGTAATATCCTCTTTCTGTAATTACAAAAACGTCTTTTTGTTGTTTTTTTTACGTCGATGCAAAGTAACAAAAATTTTTTTTCGGTTTTTTCGGTTAGTTTACTCTACTTCGGGGTTACATATGCTAATCTTGCACGAGACGTAAAAATTTTTACCGGCAACATTTTTTCCCTCTAGTTTTTATTTCATTTTTTTTTGTTATTTTACCAGTGCTCTATTGGTTAGTACTTCAGTTAGAAAATCCGTTCTTATTTACATCGATGTTCATATTATTTCCCAATTACGTTTTCTATGTTATCCACGGGGCATGAAGGTTAGATGTTGCTGATACGACCCATACAAGCACGCCTGCCGTCTGCGTACTTTTCGCATTCAATTAGAATCGTCCAACAACAATCCTCTACCATTTTTCACGGTGGTCTATCATTTTTCATCCATTGATGCTTTTGAATTTTTTCCATTATGTTCTTTTTAAACATTAATATACTCTTTGTTTGCGGAATGTTCGCTTCACCAGCGCTGTTGCGTATGTTTTTGTGTGCCTGTTGTATGTCTGTGTGTGCGAGTTGTATGTCTGTGTTTGTGTGTATGTGTGTGTGTGTGTGTACGTGTCTTGCGTCAAGTAGTGTTAAATATTTGTTTATCTGTTTGTATTGGTGAGTTTTACGCCAATATAAGGCTGGATCAATTAGTCGTTGGTGAGGTGATTTCTCGTTTGTGCGGCTTATTGCAACCTGGTAATCTGTTCATTGAAGGTTAAGAAGGAAACAGCTTCGTGTCTGTCCACTCCTCTATTATACAGACAGACTCATCTCAATTAGGTGACAGTAATGTTTCATTAAGTTTCACTCCACTTCTGAAAGCTTAACAGGGTTGTAATGGATGAGCAAGCGTACAAACGACAGAATGATTCATTTTTTATCACCAACTAACTGTTCAGAATGTTTGTATGCTGTTGTGTATAAAGTATTTGAACGATATGTGAACATATTTCATTTGAATGCTTTCGAGAATGAAACTTTTCTTCATCCATTAGCATCTATGATGTTTTCTGCGATATACTTTTAAATGTATTCACTTTTTAAACGTTATTTAATATGTTATAAAATAAATGGGAACTTATTGTAATGGATTAATGTGTGGTTCATTGTTTTTCAATCTTTATATAGGAATCACGCACGTACGCATGTGCACACACATACACATACATACAGCATACATGCACACGAACTCACACACCACACACACATGCCTTAATATTATGAAATGAATGCATCATCCAGAGATTCGTATTCACGATCAGATCAATAAAGCAGCAACACAGGACGTACATAGGGACATGTTAAATAACACGTCCCATACAATACAATACAATACGATACGATACGATACGATACAATACAATACGATATGATACGATACAATTCGATACAATACAACACTATGATACAATGCAATGCATGTAGTTGTTTGTATGTTCTTTTTATATTTTAACACTATTTTCAAAGTTTTATTTTGAAATTATGCCTTGACTTCTGTTACTTTATTTCGACGTGTACCTTATTTTTTGTTTATATCTCTTTAGTTTGCCGCTTGCTGCAAAGTTTTTGCTTAATAAAGAATAAAGATGCAGAGGGTGATTGATTGATTGGTTGGTTGATTGGTTAACTTAATATAGCTGCGTGGTTGTTAAATACGAAACATTGCTCTTTCAGTTTAGTAGAACAATCAATCAAGCATTCATTCATTCAATCACTCATTCATTCGCTCATTCAATCAATTAATTAGTCAATCGGTCAATCTATCAATTAATCACTTAATCAATCATTTAATCTGTCTGTATGTTATCTATTCAATCTTTTGTTCCCTGTTAACGTAGAAGCAACTCTGTAATTCGATATTTAAGAACTGGTATTTGGCGGTTTTTTTTCTAATTTTTTTTTGGAAAATGAAGATTTTCTTCCACCGATGTTTGTTTACAAATTCCATAACATTTTACAAACTTCTTCGCGGAGACTGACAAACTGTTTTGGTATAATCCATGAAGATTAATGTGCTCTCTTTCTCATCTACATAGCGTACGATTGGTTCTGTGTCTGTCTGCGATTGTGTGTATTTGCATTATGTGTGCGTGCGTGCGTGCGTGCGTGCGTGTGTATGGGTCGGGTGTGTGTATGGGTCGGGCGTGTGTTTTGTGTCTGTGTGTGTGTGTTTCTTTGTGCGCGTGTGCATTGTCAAATTTGAATTTAAAATTTCTTACTTTGCTTTGATTGATTGGGGGGATTGAGAAAACCTTGTGTGAATCAATGCTAAGTTGTTTTATAAATCCATTTGTTTGTTTGATTGATTGATTGATGTTGTTTTTAATTTGCTTCTATTTATTCGCAATTTAATTTGCTAGCTATCGGGTTGTTCTATTTTAATGCTGCTGTTGTTAAGCGTGTTATCTAGTTGAGTCATTTCTTCGTTTGTCTGGTTATTTTTTTGATTCATTATTGATCGATCGATTGATTGATAGATTTATTTATTGATTGGTTCATTCTTTTATTAATTCATCCGTTCATTCACATGCTCACTCGCACATTTCGTTTATTCATTCGTTCTTTCATTCTTTCATTCCTTTATGCATTCGTTCATTCATCCAAATACAAGTTAAATGACACTACATGGCTTAGAAGTTATTGATTTTTCCTATCACATCCAACCATATGCTCATTATTCATACATATATACAAATAACAAATATATACAAACACGTATATGCATTGGATGAAATCTAGTTTGTTCGATATCTTTATTTATAAGGTAGACGACCATTAAATGATTTCTTTGTCTGTTAGTTCGTTTGTTCTTTATAAACTCAAAAACTTACTGAGCCAACTGACTTGAACTTTGTGTATGCAGATTTTGGGTAGGAAAGAAAATGCTGGCATGGTTTTAACTTGTTCTGCCCTCAGAAAGGGTTGGTTTGGTGGGGGAAAGTGGATTTTTGGTCGATTTTAAGGCTGCTGATTTTAAGGCTACAATTCCATGCAAGCCACTTGGTCAGTTGACCAAGTGGCTTGGAATTGTATGAATTAGATGCCAAGGAGCGCATGCAGACTACAACAATTAATTCAAACACAAAATTTCTTACTGCCTCATTTGAATTTAACATTCAGCCTAACGTGAGATGCAAATAATATTTAGTTGCTTGCTTTTCAATTTCATGTTATTGGAAATATTTTCAGAATCATTTTTCGTCTTTCAATGATTTGAATTAATTACGAAAACGTTTTTTCTAAATAATAATAAAAATTATATCCTTTGATAGTCCCATTTTTGTTCTAATTTTTGTCTAACTTCTTGAATTTTTATTTCATTATTTGTAATTTATTTAAATTTATTTCTATTTCAAGTGCTGCCGATCAGATATCAAACCATTTATAAATACTTAAAAAAAATTTACAATTTTGAAATTCATGGAATATACTCGCCATGCCATAATTGAAATAAATTTATTAATCAAATGCTTAACGCAATCAAATTCTCTAGGCAGGGATGTGCAAACCAATTTTTGCGTTTGTTTTTGCAATCTTTCCAAAGTTTCAGAAATATTCATGCTAGTAGCAAACTCTTTAGCATACACATACACGAAGTACATTGTACACACAGTGCAATGCATGCGTTGTACAATCTACTGTACGATAAACTGCACAACGAAGTGGTGTACACCGTACGTAAGATGCTTACATTTGAATGCACACATACACACACACACCACACACACACACACACAAACACACAAACACACACGCCACGTGTAGAGTTATTTGTATAGGGACAGAATGACCAGAGCTCTGTTGCCTGTTGATATTTTAATCTTCTCCTATATTGGGCAATAGTGCTGCTGTTGACTTTCCCCTCCGCTGCTTCACATTGTAGTCATCATCAAGTTATATTATTTTGTTTGTCATTTCACTTGTTTGTTTATTTGTCATTGCTATCATCATTTGTCATCATTTTCGTCATCGTCTTCGTCGTCGTCATCATCATTGGTGACATTTTAGTTTCGGCGCCGATGTAAACTACAGCAATATAATGGAAGCAGTTCAATGGCGGAAGCATTCCGCATCTTCGTCTAGTGCAACGAATAACCTTCAAAATATAACTAAATGATAATGGTGGAAGTAGTTGCTGAATTTATAATACAAAGTAACAACAACTGTATTAACAACTACGACGGTAGTATTACAACGCGAGGTTATAGCGTGATCATAATAATAATAATAAAATATGAAATAATTATAGCTTTCATTTCTGTCATAATTATCTTGCCATTGTTTCACCTCCATCTCAATTTTCATGTAATGCATTTGTTTCTCCGCAATAACCTTTTTCCTTTCTATGGATGAGTATTTATGAGGATGTGCTTGGAGCTTGCTAGCAGTATTTACATTACTGCCGAACTCTGAGGAGTAAATGTTTGTTTGTGGATGTCTCCATGTGCCTGCCTATGTCTGTGTATCTTGTTTAGATAAACAATACACGTACAAATGTGGGTTGTACGTATGGGTATATGTGGCTGGTTATGTATATGTGTTTGTTTGTGTGTATATGTTTTTTTCTACAACCACCATATGTGCCAGTTAATGCGTGTAAGTTTATCAATTTGGGTCTACATGATGGCTAATAGTATCTGATGTATACATACATATCCCTGCAATACGTATTCCACATCAAAGAACACTTTATTTTGTGCTGCATTAGTCAGTCAACCATTTATGAACAGCGTAATAAATATAAAATATGAAGGTTTTTTTTCCACTATTATCATCCAATCAAAAATATAGAAAGTTGTTTGCGCGTGCAATGTCACCGGGGAGGTTACTTAATGCAACAAATATTGCTGCTGTTGAAAGTTATCTTTTTGTTATAATTATAATTATAATTTTTATTATTATTATTTTTATTATTATTATTTTTTGAAAATAAAAAGGACTGCTAATTTATTTGACAATTTGAATTTAAATTTGAATTGTTCTGCTGCTCCTTATGCAAATCCGCCATAAATCATGCCTTGCAATTTTGCTTGCAAAATTTTTTTCTGAATGTAAATATTAACGTTGGTAAAAAAAATTTTCTAACTTCTTCGTCGTGTTTTCTTTATAATATTTTTATCATATTTTAACGTTACCATTTCTAGGTCATCATCGTCGTCGTCATCATCAGTCATTATTGTATCATATATTCACCGTCACCGTCATCAGGGAAATCTCATCATTTCGTTTTTTACTACACTACTTTTCAAACCTCCTTGATTATCACCTTCATATCATCATCATCCTTTTCCTCCTCTTCTTCATTAGTTTTATCATTACCATTATCGTCATTATCATCATCATCATCGTCATTATTATCACATCATCATCGTCATCGTTTTATGACTGCTGCTGCTGCACCACTGCATTTAGCGCGTCATCATCAGCCACATAATCATCACCATCATTAGCCACATAATCATCACCATCATCAGCCACATAATCATTCATCGCCATCATAATCACAAATTCTCTTAATAGTATTCTCACATCTCTATCACATTGGAATTTGAAGGGGTACTTATGAATTCTTTATTGGACTCACCTACCTACCAATCGTCATTCTCTCTCTTCAATCCTCTCTCTCTCTCTCTCTCTCTCTCTCTCTCTCTCTCTCTCTCTCTCTCTCTCTCTTTCTCTTATATCACCATTATCATGGTCATTATGCTACCATCTCATCATCACCACCATCGTCCGTCGTCGTTATCATTAACACCGTCATCAATATTTTATTATCTCATTTGCACATATTAATCACATTATTTCCACCGCTTTCCAGCAGGTCAAGTATTACATAAATCAATTCTTCTATCTACCTAATTAGAAATAGGCGCATTCACTTATAGACCCGTTTACTACACACACACCATTCATAACACACACATTCACACACACACACACATTCACACACACACACACATTTACTACACACACACTCTCACATCTATAACACACATTTTCACGTACATCTCTTAAGTTGCACATTTTTCGCATGCACAAACTCTTAAGCAAAATTCTTTCCAACTGAAATGTCAATTTTCATGTCAAACAATGGTTTAACTTCTACAAAATCAACGAAGCTGCAGTATGCTTTCAATCTTTCTTCTTTCCTACTCCTCCTCATTCCTTTTTTGCTTCCTTTTTTATTTTTGCTTCCTTCATTCCATTTCGTTTTTTCATCCATCCATTTTTATTTGTTCACTTAGTAGCGTTGCCTCACTGCGCGTGGTATGCACTGCACGTATGTTCGTGTAGGTTTAGAAAAAGTTCTCCTTTTTTAAAACGTGGTTTGCATTAAATTCTCATTTCGAGACGTGTATGCCTTTCTTGATAGCACATGCCTTCAAGAGTGATAAAAACTTAAGTCTAGTAATAAAATTGATTTCAAATTAAATCTAATTCTATTTTCATCAATTACAAATTAAGTTTTGTCTCATAAAAATTATTTGGTAGGCAGGGTGTTGTGTAGTTGATGTGAACCTGCACTATGCGATTGAACTCTTTCTGGTGAATCTGTCAAATTTATTAGCAGTAATTTAGTCATTAAAGGTGTCAGTTTTAGAACATTGTAAATGGGTTCCCTTCAGAACCTCCGCAGTTAAATGGATGGAAAGGTGTGAAAGTGAATTTGTTCGCCTGAGTTTAGTGGAGTCCATATAGTTTTTCTTTTTATTTTTTCAATTGAGCGAGGTATGGAACGTATGCAACTTTTTAAGGGGCATTGTTGAGGGGATTCATAAAAATAATTGAATATTTATTGGTTTATATTATGGTGTGAGTTGTATTAAATATTTATTCTTCAATATTTTAATGTTGCAGACAGTCCATTGTGCAGTCCAAGAGTGTGCGGTGCTTCCGGACATCAGTTTAACTTTCACTTTCTCTCACATAAAAAGTACACACCTTTAATTATTTATATATTTTTTTGATAACTTGGTTGCTTGAATATTGATTGGTTCTACGCTAAATATCCAATTTGATACACTTTCGTCTGAGTGTACATTTTCATCTGAGTGTACATTTTCATTTAAGTGTACATTTTCATTTAAGTGTACATTTTCATCTGTGTGTACGTTGATATAACAAAATAATCGCGAGACTGACAAATGAATATTTGATTGATTGAAAAAGTTTGGTGGATTCGAGAAGATGGTCTGTGGCCTCGCTCGCCTCGTCTGGCTCTGGCAACAACACTCCTCTCTCGTCCTCCTGCAAAAATAAAGTTCTTTCCCCTTTTTACTTCATTTATTTTGTTATTTATTTCCGGTGGTGCGTGGTGTATTGTGCGTTATTGTACTTGGCAATATCCCATTTATTTGTTTCCGAAATGAAAACACTTTATTTTGTTTCAGCTGCTTTTATCTTTACAATGAAGATTGTTCTCAGTAACAATTCGTTTTGTAAATTAACTTTAAGCATTTAGTTTCGATCTTTGTACTCTGGCATTGTTCAAAGTAAATTTAACTAGAGTATTGTACTCTTTATAAAAATTTCACCCTTTTAATTTAATAAATTTTTACAGGCTGCAATGTATAGTTCTCAAGATCGACTGAACGTTCATCACCATCATCATCACCGTCATCACTATCACCATCATCATCATATTTTGTCTCCAGACCCCAGACACTCGAAGCATCACCACCACCATCACCACCATCATCACCTTGATTTCCATCACCTGCATCGTCATTTCAGCAGCAGTGACAGCAACCCAGCTTCATCTTCAGGAGCGAATGACGAACCATCAGCCATCTCTCTCCCATCGCCATCTGCCTCTGGACTTACCACGAATGCCAACGCGGTGAGGAGGACTGAGTCGATCGGCATGAGACCCAGGTCTCAAAGTTTCAGGTACTGAATGCCGCTCTTTTGTTTTCAAGTTCTAACATTTTTATTTGTGCTTTGTAGATCGTCGTGATTTTTTTTTTTGGCGGGTCTAATGTTTTTATGTTGATGTCGTAACAAGATAGGATTGAAATGATCGTTAAAATGTCAATGTACATCACATGCAGTAGCCCGGCAAAATCGTCAGGACATGACAGTGGCACGATGTTGCTCAACAACGTCTACAGAGAAAGATTTCCTAAGGTACTTTTGAAAATATATTTGATCTCAAAAACTACTTTTTTTGGATTATTACATATTTTTTATTGTCAACTATTTTTCGAGCGATTCACTCTTAATGATTTATAAACGATTCAAGCAATTTGTTCATACTTACAGGCTGTCCTTCAAATGGAAGAAAAACTGTTGGAGTTCATTGACGTTAACCAGCAGCAGTTGGATACAACTAAACCACCAGCAACTCCAAGATCTTCGTCCTCATCATCTCTCCTCATCTCTACCTCTTCATCACTATCTTCCATCGAATCATCTGATGGCGTGGTGAGGTTCATCCACAGGCAGGTGGTTGAGCTGGCCAGGGACTGCCTGCTAAAGTCCAAGGATAAGCTCATCTCCATCGCTTACTTCTACGAACTCTCTGATAATTTGGAGAGATTGCTTATTGATGTTTGTTTGTTTTCTTGTTATTTTGTGTTTGCCATTAATTTCTGTAATTATGAATTCTAAAGAAATATTCATTTGTTTGTAAACGAATTTTTTGAAGCAAAGCAGCACCACAAATTCAAACTAAAATATCAAAGAACTTGAATCATCTCATAAATTTTAGTTGATTTTGACAATATTTAGCGAAAGTATATCAAATATTTTTTTATTTTATTTCTTCGGTTCAGTCACGTAACTTTCTTGCATACATTGAGTTGAGTTTTTGCCCAGGCCAGGGAGAAATCTCAGACAGCCTTGGATCAGATAACACCTGTCATCAGAAACCTACTCATCATCATCTCGAGACCAGCGAGATTGCTCGAATGCCTGGTTTGTCTTTGTTTGTTTGTTTGTTTCTTTTTTTGTCTGCATGTCTCAGTTTGTTTGTTTGTATGCCCTTTTTGTTGTTTCTCTCTGTTTGGTTGTCTCTGCTTGTTTGTCTGTTTGATGTCAAGTTGATGCCTGTTTCCTTGTTTGTTTGTTTGCAATTGTTTGTAAGATGGCTTTCTGAGTTTTCCATCTGGTCGTTTTTGTTTGTTTTGAATGATTTGTTTTATTTTTTTTCTACATCGAATTTACCTCTGATACACGAATTTTACAAATTTAAAAAATTTCTTTCCCCAACGCAGTTCTCCTTCTAAAACTGTAATTATTTTTTCACACTGCATAGCAAATTTTCTCTAAAGATGCTTTTTTATTTATTCTACATAATAAATCAAATTTGAAGGCAACATTTGATATGCATATGAAAACCAGCCAGATCAGAAATTTAACGTAGCATTTCAGCTAGCTAGCTATATATTCAATCACTTAAACGTCGTTCAACCCACCAACTATAATATTATTATTATTATACTTATTATATATATATATATATACACGCATATAAACTTATTACGCACGTGCGCATCACATATTCACGCATCCATATACTACTCACGCACAAACATTCCATTCACGTGCATGTACGTAGAAAGACATGCAGTTCACACGTACACACACATATACACAACAGGAATTTGATCCTCATGAATTCTACCGCATGTTGGAAGCAGCTGAAGGATGTGCCAGGGAGACAATTAAAACGGATATTCCTCAGTATATTATCAATAAACTGGCACTTAATAGAGGTGATATCATCGTCGGTATGTAGTTTATACTGTTCGTTCGCTCGTTCGTTTGTTCGTTCGTATGTTCGTTCGTTTGCTTCTTTTATTCTTGTTTGTCCGTTTGTTTGCTTGTCGTTTGATGGTTTTGTAAAACGTTGTTTGTTGTTCATTGTCTGTGGTTTGTTGTTATTTGTTCGTTGCTAATTGTTCGTTGTTCGTCGTTTATGTCTTTATCTTATTGCCATTTATGTTGTTTGTTGATATTTTTGTTATCTCATGTTACTATTGTTTGCTTTTAATTTTATGTTCCTCTCTGATGTTCTGATGTTGCAGATGGATGAATATTTTTTACCAGTTTTTAAATTTGTAAAATAGTTGCTCTGGAAATGTTTCAATTTTATGCCAGGATAAACTTGTTTTATGACTCTCTTTCGGATTCCTCCCATATTTGCTAACATTTTTCTTCTCTTTAAAATGCTAAGCTGTTTGTTCTTTCTCGTTCTTCATTTGTCTCTCTCGTTATTACTTCATAATGTCCTTATTATTATAACAAATTCCCATCTAGTATTATTTGGAAATTATTTAATGAAAATAACGTTGCTGCACAGGAAGTTAGAGAAAGGTTTTTGAATGACCAGATGAAATCAGCTTTTTAATAAGATGCTAGAATTAATTAATTAATAATTAATTGAATAATATTCAATAATTAATTAAATAATATTCAATAATTAGTTATCAAATTGAATGAATAACCATTAATAAATTATTAAAAATGACGTTTATTTTTAATCTTTTTTTTTCAGATTTAGCGGACGGCTGCAACAGTTTTGATAGCGGGAGACCTGAAACGCCAGACACTGACGACTTTAACGAGGTGGACATGATGATGATGTTTGAAATGATGATGTTGTTGTGCTGATGAGTTAGCTTGATGACGATGATGATGATGATGATGTGATTGAGGTTATAATAATGATGGTAGTGATGATGATGAAAATTTACGATGAAGTAACATAGTATTTTTGGATTGGTTAATGTACGCTTGCTGACATTTTCCGCTATGATTTATTGTCTTTATTTTTTGGCGTCAGTGCTCTCCTATCACGTTCTGGTGATTAAGTTTTTGTAATTTTTCATAAAAAATTTAAACTCCATTAGAAAGATATGCAGGCAAAAAAATTAAATCAGTGTCTGTAGATCAATTTAATTATAATTGAATTATTTTATTAAATAAAATGTTGTTATTCGGCTATTTTAATTAAATATGTTTACGACGCTAAAAAATGTGCAAAGTATGTGAAGCTTATTTACACGAACAGGAATGTAATGGTGTTTGTGTAAAAAAATGTTTAGACGTATTTTTAATTTGACGCCACCAAGGATGCGAACAAGATGAAGATTGCCAACAACCTGCCCTCCTCTGATTGCAAAACTCAATGGAAGCTACCAACTGAAAATGATTTTGAAACTATCAAACTCGTCAGCAATGGAGCTTATGGGTTGGTGTTGTTGGTTGTCTATATTGATTGAGTTACAGTTGAAAGAGTGATTGTCAGAAAAACTAAATTACATGATTTTATTCAACTAATTATTGTTTATTCTACCGCTAACAAAAAAAAAATACTATAAAGTAATAATTAACAACCGTGTTGTTTGCAGAGCTGTGTATTTGGTACGCCACAAGGAGTCGAAAAACATTTGCGCCATGAAACGCCTGCTGAAGAACAATTTGGTCCTTAGAAATCAGGTCTTCTTCATGGTCATTGTGATCATTGATGCCCTTTTTGTGCCATCGAAGAATATTACTTTGTTTTTTTTATTTGAAAATTATTTTGTATGTTAAATAAATCGTTTTGATTAAATTATTACAAGTTATTCAATGATAGCAAACACACGCCATTAGCACAAGCAGTAATACATTAAAACCGTTGACGCACGACCGTACCAACACAGGTAGACCAGGTGTACGCCGAACGAGACATCCTCACATTCACGGACAATCCATTCGTCGTTTCTTTCTACTGCAGTTTTGAGACGAAGGTCTTTGGAAATTACCGACAGTTTATTAAAAATTTATAAATGTAACAATTTAGCACATTTAAATTATTGCGAGTTGACACATGTCACCATGATATGTTTAGTCTTTAAAGACAGTTCAGTTTTTAAACCTTACAATCAAGACCGATACTATAATTGCAGACCATGGAATTTTAAGCGCCATGTTTTTAAAATCGGATTTTGCATTGTTTGCTGTTTCACTTATTTCGGTTGGACAATCCTTGTTATATTTTATGTTAAACGAACGAAAGGGTAGAATAATTTCTAAATGTTTTGCTTGCACAAAATTGAAGATGATACTCAATTTTGATTGATGTAGAAACATTTCTGCATGGTGTTGGAGTACGTGGAAGGAGGTGATTGCGCCACACTACTGAAGAATATCGGAGGACCTCTGTCTTTTGATCTGGCCAGGTTTGTCCGATCCTTCTCTGTTTTGTTTGATGCATCATAGTTGATAATTCAGCAATATTTTCATTATTTCGTGTCTCTGGTTGATTGCGATGTTTTGAAAGATATTTTAGTTTTTGATGTGATTGCATTGTATTAATTACAATGTTCATAATTACGACAATTAAGTATCTGGTTTAACTTCAGTTGAATTTCTGCTATCTGAAGTTATTCATTTTACTATTAATAATCCAAAATATTTTACTAATAAGTAGTAAACGCATGAATGTGAAGGAATGAAGTGACGACACGACAACCAATCACCAACCAAACAGGATGTACTTTTCAGAAACTGTCCTAGCCCTCGAGTACCTGCACAGTTATGGAATCGTGCACAGAGATCTCAAGCCCGACAAGTTTGTACTCGCGTGACGAACATATTCCTTCTATAAATAAGTAAATCAGTGAATTGAATTTCTAATTAATTTTCAATTTCCAACCAGTCTGCTGATAACTCTGATGGGCCACATCAAACTGACCGACTTTGGGCTCTCGAAGATGGGACTCATGAACTGTTTGTTCATTTTTGTAATGTTTCATTTAGTTTTGTTCTTTGTTTTAAATTATTCACTTCATTGCACATTCACCTCATGTTTTTGGGTGATAAATCTCAATATTTCATTTGTGTAATTTACTAAATGTAATTTGTACTAGGACATATCAACTTCAATAAATAGAATACGTTTTGGTTATTTGACAATTAAACATTCTCCAAAACAAGTGACAACGAACTTGTACGAAGGAGCTCTCGATTCGGACTGTCAGCAGTTCAAGGACAAGCAGGTTTTCGGCACGCCCGAGTACATCGCTCCTGAGGTCATACTTAGGCAGGGATACGGTCAGAACAACTTAACTCTATTGTTTTTTTTACTTTGAAATCGTAAGGATTGGATTAACTTGAGGAAATACTTGAAGAAATTTATATAGTCAATCCATTTGTTTTCCACAAAAATTACATTTGTCTAAATATTATAACTAAGCAACCATGCAACCAAGCAACCATGCAACCAGGCAACCAACCAAGCAATCAACCAACCAACCAACCAACCAACCAGCCAGCCATCCAACCAACCAACTAACCATCTTACTAACCATCCAACCAACCATCCAACTAATCGACAAAACGACACGCTTCTAACCAGGCAAGCCAGTAGATTGGTGGTCGATGGGCATCATATTGTATGAGTTTCTTGTGGGGGTGGTTCCTTTCTTTGGGGAGTGCCCCGAAGAACTTTTCACCAGGATCATTAATGGTTCATATTTTTTAACTTATGAGAAATATTAGAATAAGGAAACAAAATTATTTTTAGCTTCGTCAGATAAACATTTTCATTAATAGCATCGTCTTTATCATTCCTTCTTCTCTGATCAGACCCAGTAGAATGGCCGGCGGAGGAAGAGTTTTGTCCACCTGCAGATGCCCAGGACATCATCCTCCATCTACTTCAACACAATCCTGTTGAAAGGTTGGGTTCGTCCAGCGTACAGGAGGTCAAAGGTCACGTGTTCTTCGAGGGACTCGATTGGAATGGACTGTTGAGGCAGAAGGCAGAGTTTGTGCCTATCATTGCGAACGACGAAGATACTAGCTATTTTGATAGTACGTTTCATCTTGTTTTTTGCTTTATTTTTATTTTTTTTATTTAAATCAGCGTAAATTTTTTTCACTTTTATGTTCATCAATGATTGGAAACAATAAATCGACAACCAACTTGTGTGAGCAGCTCGCTTGGACAGGTACAATCCAGATCAGTGCAGTGACGACATCGACGACAACGACGACGACAACTGGATGTTCAACAGCTTCTCATCCTGCTCACCCAAGTACAGTCAGGTCTACTCGAAGTTTGAAGAAGTTAAACAGGTAGAACTGCTTGTTTTCAAAAATTTATTAATGCCTAATTAAGTTGCATTAATGTTTTGTTATATTGTTTAATTTACGTTAAATTATTTTTTAGCTTGAATAAACAATTTTCGCGATGCAAATTTTTTTGCGATGTTTCATACTTTATGACTAATCATCTTAAACAACTTGTCCAAAATTTGGAGATGGAGAAACTGGAAACACATGGCAACAACAAAATAAAAAGTGTGAGACCATCGTCAGCCGATGTCCTGATGTTGTTGGATTCAACTGCTTCCAATGGTTCGCCCTCCGCGCTGGAATCGCTGTCCTCCTTCTCCTCACCATCAATGCCACCCACCACATCAGCTGAGTTAACAACATCTACTGATATCAAAGACAATTTGCCAGTCACATCGGCCTCACTGACACCATCAACTACACCAAAAGTACCTGAGCCTGCTCACGTTTCAACAAAACCGGCTCTTCCAACCAGCTCTGCTCAGCAATGTGCAAGTGAAGTTCATGGAAGGAAGGAAAAAATGGCGACTAAATTGACGTCATCACATGTAAATACTGTTACTACTGCATGTTCTCTGACGAAGTTACCTTCAACCACCACACCAACCGCTTGTTCGTCTATAGATGATGACGTCTTCGTCACAACCACATCTGCAACATTTGCAACAACATCGACTACACCAACGACAAGATTTAGTTCTACCGTGCTTTATGTCAAACCGTCTATGTCGAAGACGCTGGCAACGACAACGGCAACATCAACTTCATTTATTACCACATCAACAAAATTAATCTCTCTTGTTAAAACATTGCATTCAGACGTGTGCACGACTGAAACAGCAGTGAGTTTTGAAGGGACTGCATCAGCCAATGTATTTCAATCAGTTGCCAAGCCATCACCATTCACTGTGAAGTCATCAACCACACAGTCAACATTATCATCTTCAGCTGCTGCTGCAGTCACGACTTCGTTGTCATCAACCACAACGACATCAACATTAACGACATCAACAACTTCATCGGCAACACCAACAACGTCGACAGCGTCAGCAACAAAACCAACAACATCAGCAGCTACAAGAACTACTTCGGAAAAAGTTCATGTGAGAAGAAAGTTGCTCAGAGGACTGCCTGACCTGCCAAAATTTTCACTATCCGCTGGTAAATTTCATTCATTTTTTTAAATTTTTTTTTTTTCCTTCTTTCTTTCATCTAAACTCTTTGATTTGCTTTGTTATCCATTTCTTTGTAAGTAACGGCTTTAAAACGTTGCTAACGGTAATAAAAAAAAGTTATTAATAATTCACATTTGCAACCAGGAATCTCGAAAACGAAATGCAAGATGTCAATAAAGTTGGATCAGCTGGGTTCCCACATCCGAACAATCCCTCCATCCAAATCCGCTCCAATCATCATCCATCCGATTTCGGAGGATGACGATGATGTCGATGAGAATGAGGAGGAAAATAATGAGATGAAATGTGCGCGAAACACCAGCGGCGAGTCAAACACGAGATCACATGCTGCACCATTGATGCCACTGATTCTGCACTCACATGTACCACCATCATCACCACTAATCTCATCATCGACATCATCGTCGCCACTACAAACATCGTCATCACCAGTACCTCTGCCTCCATCGTCGTCATCATCTTCATCCTCGGTTGGCGGAACAACAAAGCCCCCGTCAGGGGTTCAGAGTTTTTATAAGCAGATGGGTTGTAAGTACTTACTTACAGTCTTATTTATTTTTTTTTGTTTTTTAATTTTGTTTTTCGCTCTAACGTGTTTGGTTGTTGACAATTGAATGACATTTTGTTTTGTTTGTCTAAGTTGAAATTTTTTTAACTGATGTTTTTTCCAGATAAGCTGAGTTCATCTTTTTCCTCCTCGTCGTCATCGTCACCTTCATTAATCCTCTACACCAACAAGATGGCTGATAATAAATTGAAGCAACAACCACAGACACAACAGCAGCCAAATCTACAACTGCAACAATGCAAAATCCAACAACAACAACAGCCGCAGCAGCATCAGCCAGAGCAGAACACCAACAACAAGACGGTAACGTTGAAGAAGGGTCCTCGTGGCTATGGATTCACATTGAGAGCTATCAGAGTTTATAGCGCAAACACGCAGTACTATACCGTGCATCATTTAGTTGTGGTACGTTGCATGCAGTCCTTATGTTTATTATTCACGTTTTATGTTATTCAATAATTATGTCCTGGTTATGATATTAAACTGACCCTCACTGCCTTGTGAGTGATGTTGGATCATCAAAGGCTAGGCCCACCGCTTATAACTGTGGTTGCGTAAGGAAGGGCGTCCTGCGTAAAAATTAGCCAAATAAATTACTTATGATGACAGAAGTGACAATGGTTTCATCATAGGTAGCCAAACGGCAACCCCCGATCTCGGGGAAAATGTCGTCTAAATGTGTGTTGTTGTTGTTGTTGTATGTTATTCAACAATTATTTTTGACCTAAACTACTGGACAGTCAGTGGAGGCGAACAGTTCAGCAGTTTTTGCGGGGTTGGCAGTGGGGGACCTGATCACCCACGTCAACGGGACATCGGTGCAGGGCCTGCTTCATATTGAGTTGGTCAGGTTGATTCTGGCTGGTGGGCAGTCTGTAACTTTCAAGACTGTTCCTATCACGAGCACCACCATCAAGCTTGGCAACAAGAAGCAGGTTTGTATCGAACGGGATGGTTGCTCTCTTCACATGTTTTTAAATAATTTTTGTTCGGTTCATCAAATATCACAAAACTCTGGCCTATATAAAAAAATATAATACCGTATAAAGTATAGTATCATATAAAAAACAGTCCAGTGAGAAGGAATATAAATGTGCAATCTGATCCTGAGGGACTTTGTTGATGATCTTTTATTTATTCGCCTGTTTGCAAACAGATTCAGCCGAAATTTTCAGGAACCACTTCGCAGTCGCCTAAACTTCCTCAGACGCCAGCATGCAACGTAAAGGGTCGATGGACATCCAATAGAATCTCTGACGATAAGAAGAAAAAATCTTCCCTCTTTCGCAGGTTGAGCAGCAGGAAAGTTGAGCAACTTGTGTCATCTCCAGGTCTAATGTCTCAGCAACAACACCACATCAGCAACATGTTCTACCACAGGCCGCTATCAGCCAGTAGTGGTTACGGAAGTAGTGGTAGTGGCTGCAGTAGTAGAGGAGTATCTATTTCAGGTAGTGGTTGCAATGATTCTGGGGAGTCAAATAGTTTTAATGACAGTTTAGACGTAAGCGAATGTGGAGGGCAGAAGGATGAGCTAACAAAAAGCGCTATCAGAAATTTGCCACAACAGCGCCAACAACAACAACAGCAGCAGATGCCTGGTCTTCTGACCAAAAACACTTCATCAGCAGATAAATCGAAACAGCTGCAGCAACTTCACTTTCACAAAAAAAGAGCTTTCGAGTTTCGATCGAACCATTGGAAGAATGTAACTGACTCTCTTGATTTTTCATCGAGCAGCTCACCAGCTTCGAGTTCTCCGGGCTCGCCATTGTTTCACGGAGGCAACTGGTCACATGATGCTTCCCGCCATGTTGATTGCTGCTCAAATTCCAACGAAAGACCCAGCTCGTTCTATGGACTGAAGCACAAGGCCAAGCTGGATGTCAACAAGGTGGTCAATGCTTCATTTCTACTTCATTTTTTTTGTGTGTTTTTTTTTTAAATTTTTCTTCATTGCTTGTTATTTTATTAATAAATACTTAATGTCTTGCAAGTTGAATGTAGTAGCTCTGTTAATTAAGTTGATTCGTTTGAAGTCAGCGACTAAATGACACGCATGAACGTGATTGAAGGTACACAAGACGTGCTCCTTACAACTGCAGACCTCTCCTGGATGTGGAGGATGTCGCAGGAGGTCCTGGCACAACAACCCCCTCTCACCATTGGTCAAAACACCAAGCACCAACATTTCACCACAGCTCACATCACCGTCAAGAAGCCCAAGCCCATCCATTGGTACTTCTTCTTATATTATATTTTGCTTTCTTATTCTGTTTTTGTAATGTCATTTTTTGTTGTTGTTGCTTTATTGTGTTGTTGTGTTGAAAGATTCTTGAAATTCTGGCAAGTGTTGTTAAGTTGGTGATGATTTAAGGACAAGGATAACGAAGAACATGATATAGTGATGAGGATGATGAAGAAAAAGATGATGATGATACGGCGGTGAGGATGGTTTCGAAACGGCAAATCCTATTTAGATGTGCTGATGAAGTTAATGTTTGTTTCTTTTAATTACTGTCCAGGCATTTCCAACACAGTTCAGTTTTTCAGTCCACACTCGGTCCAGGTTGTTGAAATGTTACAATTTTTATAGCGCTACATTTCTTAAATTTTTAAATTGAGCAATAATATATTTACTCTTTGTTCTTTATTTTTAATCCTGATGAGTTAATTTTCTGATATGTGCTAGGTAACTTTTTTAACTTGTCTATACCTGCAGAAATCTAACAGTCAAAACGAAGTGAAGAAGGTAGCAGCAGGAGCATCTTACAACAACGACAAAAAGAATAATGGCAGTTGTAATAACAACAAACATAACAACAATAATAATAATAACAGTAATAATAATAATAATAATAATAATAATAATAATAATAATAATGAAGGCAATAAAAGCGTCAACAACAACAAAATCAACATTCACCGAATTTCGATCACCTCTGAAAACAAAATAGAAATTAAAGAGATACAAATGATGGACAACAACAACAACAACAACAAAGATATTTTGAAAAGTAAGAATGATTGCGACATAATTTATAAATGCAACGCAATCAACAAGATGTCCAACACAGAATACCGACAAACAACATCAAGCAAGGATAATAATAATAATAATAATAATACTGACAAAATCACTAAAATTAGCACTGATAACACCAATAAAAATAACAATAATAATAACAAGTGTGCAGCAGACGCACAGAGAGAAAAACTGAATCTTTTGAGTGGAGATGCAGTGGACGACGACGCCAGTGCCGCCAAGAAGAAAGTAACCATCATTCCAATTAGAATATTTTCATCGTCGTCGTCGTCATCATTGTCGGTTGTTTCAACGTCACTACCATTAACGATGGCGACAAACACAGCGACAACTTCTTCGTTGCCTTCAGCTGCAGCGCTGCTTTCCTCATCCACACCTTCTTCATCCTCATCCTCTTCATCCTCGTCATCCACATCATCATCGGCGTCCACACTAGCAACAAGCAAAACAATTAAACTGCCGTTCATGAAGATTAAATTTCCGACTGCAACTACCAACGCAGCAGTATGTGCCAATGAAGAAAATAACAAGTTGCGAGTGACCGAAGCAACGACTGTTGCAGCAGCAACTGCAGCAGCCACATCAGCTGCAACGGGAGTCTCAGTTTCAAGCAACACGGGTATAACTTTGATAAACATCACAGCCAATATCACCTCAAATACCACAGCCAGTATGACGTACGCGACCAATACCCTCTACCTCCCGATGGCTACTTCGTCTAAAAATCAACAACTGTCACCACTCAAAAAATCAACATTTCACTTTCCTAAAGTGGAAAAAGTTTTTCCAACGAGTTCCAAAGAAGTTTTCAAGAGCGAGTTTTAATGTAACATTTTGGATGTGAACTGACTGATGTGAGATGAGGTTGAGAGTTGTAAAGAATCTTCATGCGTATAAACATTGTTGAGTGATGTGGTCAGTTGGCTGGTCAGTTGGCTGGCTAGTAGTTATAACCTGTTATACACTATTCTTCACATGTTAATTAGTCAAATATATATCCCGACCTAAGCTTGCGTCATGTGTTGTTATCAAGAAAATTTTTCCCTATCAAGAGTTTATCCAGTGCATAATTATAAATTGACTGTCAAACTTGGAAGATAAGGAGTTTTGCAATGAACTGATTAATAAATAAGTTAGTTAATTTAAAAAACTTCTAACAAACTACATAATATAATATATATGGATGTGCATGTATGTACGTACATAAAGTATCCATTAATTTAAGGTATAATAATAAACACAAGAATCAGTCGTGTGTATATTTAAACATCTTAACTCCTACTACATTCCATTTGTTTGATTGTTATCACAAATTATCATAATTAATTAATTATATTCATAATTTTCATTTTTTATTTCCTGTATTTTTATTTTCTTTTATTACATACAGCATCCGAGTTGATGTTAATGATTAGTTAAGTTATCTAGTTGAATGATTTGTTTCATTTTGATTGTTTGTTAAGCCTTATACTGATTACAACACGATATATATACATATAGAGATCTGTTTGGTTGATTGATTTAACAGTTGAACAAGACACCTTCTTTAGTGTTTGATTATTTCATCGTTTGATTTACAGTTTAGTTTCATTGGTTGATGATGTGTTTATTTTAAATTTATTGACTGGTTTGCTGATTTGAGTGGTTTGCTGATTTCTGATATGAATAACGAGCTACAATTCTTATCCAGTACCCTTTCTTAATAGTATCATATCATTCGTTGATATCATACGTATATGGATAGGATGCCCCGCATGTGTCATTTCACCATAAGCAACCCAAGATGATATTAGTGCACTGTTCATAAAAAAATATCGGCCTCGTTGAACTTCAACCTTTAACCTTTAAATGGTATACACGCAATACACGTGCATAAGCTCGCGCACACACACAGACACAACCTTTGAACGGTATATTCGTAACACACACGCGCACACACACACATGCACACATACACACATTTAAATAAATATCCAACTATACTGCCCTACCCTACCTACATTAGTTAGAACCTTGAACATTGTTATTGTAGTCTTCCATAACTTGATAATAAATGTTATTTCTTAACCATGATCCTCTATTTTCACATTCTTTCGATCAAGTATATTACTTTTTTTTTAAATCTGATATATATATATATATATATATATATATATATATATATATATATATATATATATATATGTATATTTAATATGAACTATTCTATTAATATATTAAATATGTAGATGATTGTGTCGTAGCTAGATTTTTACTTCTGATTTTTTTTATCAACACTTAATATTCATTATCTTTGTTGAGGCGTTTGGTTTTTGGTTTTGTTGTGAAAAAGAGATAGAACAGTTTAATATCTTTTTTAGCCTGCTAGCTGTAGAATGCATCGCGAGGATATTTTCATTCATATTCAGTTAGAGTTCAGAAATTTTGATTTTTTATAACTTGGAAGAACTATTAAGAACTTCTTGAAGGAACTTAAAACACTTTATCTCATTTGATCATTCATCTTCTTTAAATTCATTCTTTCGGTTGTTGTTTCATTTTTTCGTTCGTTCATTCATTCATTCAATTGTACATTCTTTCATTCATTTATTGCTCTTATTCTGCAAAAAAAATTCTCAGACTTTTTTCAATGAAATTATGCTTTATCGTATTAAATTTTTCAGATTTTTCAAATTCATTATTCAGATTTTTATTGATAAATGAACGTGCGAGTTAGATAAATAAATAATTCATTCATTCATTCATTCATTTATTCATTCATTCATTCATTCATTCTTTCATTCATTAATGCATGCTCTTAATTATTTTGCCTATTCGTTCCTTATCAATTCGTACAAAAAAAACGCACATTTGTATTAGCAATTCAGTGTAGATATTAATAAAGAAACGGTTAATCGATCAATTAATCATTCAATTAATTAACTAAATTAATTGATTGATTGATTAATTAGTCAATAATTAACACAGTGTAGATGTAGAAGTAACAAATTGTCAGTCAAACTCAGTTTGTATCAACCGACTAGTCTTTATTCGCATTTATTTTTTGTTTGCCTTTTTATTTTGTTTTTGTTAATTTTTAGATTTACGATAAAATGAAATTAATTTTTAGTTTAAATATTTGAAATTGTTAATAATTTTTCTTTTCATTTGTAAACAATTTTCCTGAAAACTTATTTTTGTTTGTGTTGAGTTCTCACGTATAATCAAGTCTAGTTTATTTTTAGAGTTAATTTTGATTTAGATTCAAATTTAATTTTTATTTTGATATTTAGTCGAGAAAGAGAGAGAGAGAGAGGAGAGAGAGAGAGAGAGAGAGAGAGAGAATGGAGAGAAAGTGTGTGTGTTTGTGTGTGTGTGTTCGAGAATGTTTAGCGTTTTTCATGTTTTAGATATATGTTACAATTTTATTCAATTTGTATGACGCTTGTAATCTCTTATTATCTCACAATTATCCGAGTTATGTATATACACACAATCACGCCCGCAAACACACACGTACGCACCACATAGACATACATAGACTCACTTGCAAACAAACACATAGACACATACATACAATCACATACATCCACGTACATTAACCTGTTTTAGAAACTGTCTTACTTATATTTTTTATTGAAAAGTTGTACATTTGTTGTGGCTGCCCTGCTATCAATGTTAAAGAATATTATGATCAAATTAATGTATAAATATGTGTAATAATGATATTAATAATTAAAATTATAATTTTTATTCTAAGAATAATTAAATAATGATAATTATTATTATTATTACTGTTGTCTATTGTTGCTAGTTCTATTTATGTTTTAGCTAGGTTATTTAAACATGCCAAAAGTACCATTTACACTTAGCACTGCTATTATTGCGAAGAGAAGCATCATTATAAATGAAAATGCATTGTAAGAATGATCTGTCGAGCTTTTCAAATGCTCAATTTTAATTATATATCCTCACCAGTGTATGTATCAATAATAAGATGGAATAATGATATAATATAATGATACTATGATTCCGGATGATTCTTTGATGAATACTCCTATGAATTAAATTAAATTTATCTGTTGAGTAAATACTTTATTAAGCGTATCTTTTATGCATTTTTCAATAAGGTTAGTCTGCTCACGCTGTCACTTTCTTTCAGTCAGACGCCACGAGATGAATTTTTCTGACGTGGCTCTAGTAACTTTCGTTTAAAAATTTGATAAATATTCGACGTATCTGCGTTAGAGTGTGCGTACGAAGGAGTGTGCGAACGTACAATGGAGTGTGCTTGCGCTGGAGTGTATCGGAGTGCGCTGAATAATGAAGGATGAGAAAGAACAGAGTTTGACAAATGATCGATTTGATGATTGACAGGTATAATGACTGATGGTTAGACGAATGGATAAATCTGGAAGGTTGTGATGAAAGTATGAATGAATTAATGTTGAAGAAGATTATGATGGATGGATGAATGAACGGTGGAATGACAAAAACTCAAGAATGAGTTGTTTTAATTGGCTGTGAGAGTGTTTGACGAACTTAGTTTCTTTTTTTGATTTGTTGATAAGAATGCCCGCTTGATAAAGTATATTCATAACAACGCTTGTTTTTATATATACATAAATATTTGCATAACGTTTAATTTGATACATATATTACAACTTAACCTTTGCCATTAAATCCGTTGTTACAGTTAACAAGCCTTTTTTGAAAGATTTTTCAAATTTTCTGTTCGGTTTTATTCGTTCTTACTGATATTTACATTATTTTTTTGGCACGATGTTGCACGAGGTCGTTAAAGTATTGGATTTGTTTTTTTTTTATTATTTATCTTTTTAACCTATTTTTAATTAGTGGTTCTCACCTCTATTTCTCTCTTCTGTCTTTTTTCGTTCTCTCTCTCTCTTTATCTCTCTCTCTTCCTTTCTCTCTCTCTTTCTCTCTCTTTCTTTTCTCACATCTCTCTTCAAAAATATTTTTCGCAATTACAGTTTTCCCTTAAGGACGTTGAAACTATATTCTATAATGATTCCTATTTACCTCAGCCTAATTGCTGGTCCTCAAGATTCTTCGTCATAATTAACATAACCACTACCACCACCATCATTATCATCATCACAGCATCATCATCATTATTATCATTTAACATTATATCAATGAACATCATCAATACATCATAACCGCATTTAACATGATTGTACATTAATCAGTCATATAAGACAAACTTGTTCCTATTACAAATATATATATATATATATATATATATATATATATATATATATATATATACACACACATTCCTGTACCGTATAATCTTATTTAAATATGGACTATCACTTCATGCTATCATCGTTTGTGGCATCATCAACTGATTTTTATATCATGATATCAACTTTATCAAGTTTCTTACGTCGGGATGTCATAATTTATTCATTAGGTATTTACTGATTGAGCTTGCTATTGTTCACACACAGCTGAAGAAAATGATTCTTACATTTTCAACGTGTTACTTTAATGACGGTGTTGTTTAACAATTAATTGGTTAATAAAGTTTTGCTGAGTTCAGTGTTTGTCATTCATTACTCATGGTTTGAAAATACGTTTTTGTTATATGAGAATTTGAGTTTTAAAATGTCGGGAAATGGCGGTCACAAATAATGGAGGTGGTGAGGGCGATGATGGTGGGGTGAGCAAAATAGCAGGACATCCGCCATGAAAGAATTCTTAAATTGAAGACTGAAGCAAAAACCAGTCAATAAGAACGCACCAACTCCAGTATTTACTCATTTATTTACTACTCGTCCGTCCATCTATCCAGTTATCCACCCATCCGTCCATTCATT